ATGTCCAGATGCTTGAGATGTGATAATCTGTTCGGACTTGCTATTAGACAGTCATCAACATACGCATGTACGAAGTTGAGACCTCGGAAAACGTCGTCGATAAACCTTTGGAAGGTTTGAGCCGCATTTCTTAAACCAAAAGGCATTCGTAGAAATTCGTAGAGACCGAAGGGAGTGATGATGGCGGTTTTAGTAATGTCGTCAGGTGCCATCGGGATTTGGTTATAAGCTTTAACTAAGTCGATTTTCAAAAAGACAGTTGTACCTTTCAAGGTAGCTGTCAAATCGTGAATATGAGGCAGCGGGTAACGATCGGGAATGGTTTTAGCATTCAGACGCCGATAATCACCAGTTGGCCGCCAATCATTGCTGTCCTTTTTAGGGACCATGTGCAATGGGGATGCCCATGGGCTATTCGATGGTCGAATTATCCCTAGGTCCATCATGTGGTCGAATTCATTTTTAGCTAATCTAAGGTTCTCTGGAGCGAGTCTTCGAGCTTTCGAAAATACAGGTGGTCCTGTAGTCGTGATGTGATGTGTAACATTGCTGGTTACACAAGGCAATTTCGATTGCGATTGGTATATTACGGGGTATTTGTCGAGTACGTCTGCAACAACGAAAATCCAGTGTATGGGTTTGCGTAAACCCGCGTTAAGGAAGACGTACCTTTTACCGTAAGAAGCGATCGGCTTTCCGTTTGCCGCCTGTAAACTTAAAACAGACTGGCGAAGTCTGTCGTCGAGATTTGCTGGAAGAACGCTAACTTCTGCGCCAGTGTCGACGAGGCAGCGAACTTTCGTAGTCACATCCGTGACATATAAGAGGCGGCTGTGTTCGCCGGCTACGGTTGCCGTTAACGCGTGCCGGCCGGGAAGTTTCCCGAACTGTTTTTCGTGTCACTCGATTTTGGGGTCGGATAATTGCAGGGCTTCCTGCAATTTCTGGAGGATTTACCGTACTGGTTGTGATACCAGCACCAGTCGGGGTTGTCTGTCTCTCGTGGTGGAGAGACAGATCTCTTACGTGAAACGCTCCTACGTGACGATTTTGACCGACTACGGTTATTACGAACTCTAAGATATCTTGTAAGCGTGTGACATAGTTCGGCCATGTCAGTCGAGGTCGATTGAGGATTATCTTTAATGGAAAAAAACCTCGTCCTTAGAAAATTTGGTGATTTCCAAGATTCGATCGGCAGATGCAGCTAGTTCATCTATGGCATTGTTTTGAAATGAAACAAGCACTGCCTGCACCTGTTGAGGGAGTTTGGACAAGAAACATTGTCTAAATAGGCCATCATCGAAAGTTCGTTGGCCAAAGACTTCTCTCATTCTAAGCAACATGTCCGTCGCAGAACCATGTTGTAAGTCGATATTGTTAAGGAGTTGGTCTAACCGTTGTCGATCAGTTAGGTCTCCGCGTTTTAAAATCGATAGTTTAAGCGTTTCGTAAGGTTCGGGGACATCACTAGTAAACATACTAGGTGTTACGTACCTGTTAAACTCGCGCGGTAACGCCTTAACTACAGCAAGGAAACGTGTGCGCGAGTCCGTGATTCCGAGCATGCAAAAATCGGCTTCTGCATAGGAGAACCAGGACTCGATATTGTCGGGCCAAAATGGCGTTAACTGAATCGAAATAGGGGGAATAGACTTTAACTTAAAAACCTTGGGTGAGTGTTCCGTCATAGTAATATAGATAACGAAAAATGTGTAATTAAAATATATCCGAGAAAAAAAAATCGCGATAAAATTATATCACAATATATAAAATTCGAATAAAGAATAACAATGAATAATAATATTCCAAAATGGAACAGACTCACATTATATTGACTTGGTGTACCAGATCACGTCGGTCTCACCAATGATGTTGCAACGGATATTCTAGTTTTACAACTGGATATCAGTAGCACCTTCTATGTTCGATCGTTCCCAGTCAGATAGAAATCAGAAGTCAGACGAGAAGAGGCAGGAAAGATATATTTGATTCGTTATCAATATATCGAGGAGCTTTTATATGAGCTGGCTAATGAAACGTAGGAGCTGTGTCCCACGCCGTGTTGAAACGTGATCTGGTGCGGATGCATGACAGAAAGCCTTCAGCTAAACAAGTCCACTTAAACAACGTGGTCAGCATCCAATGTCGAACACTTAATGAGCTATTGATTTTGGGGAATTATTTACAGCTACAAAGCGCTCACACTCGCGGTGTACTAAACCGGCATTCTTCACCTAGTCATCATCAGATGCATTTGTTATCCTGAGACATTGATAACGAATATTGAACACGGACGACTGATCAGCAAAGATTTGTGACAAAATATCAATCGTTCCATGAAGAAAAATCGGCGTGACTATAATTTATGGACGAGTCAATCAGAAGAGTCTGAAGGATTTCAAAGTCATGGTGCCGATTTCAGCACCTGGTGCTCATGCACGATCGGTTCACAGAGAATTTTAGAGAGGACTTGACAATTAAGCGGCTACAATTAATGAAACTAATAAGAAGTTCTTTTAGTTGAAATTGCAGTGATCAAATGACTTAAAGATCTTGTGCAGACTACGGTGATGTTGTAGTGACCGGCTTGTCTCGATAAGAACACGATTGGAATAATAAAAACAATTATTATTATTGTAATCAATTGTACCAGCGATCGTTTTACCGTACTTGTTTAACTGTTCCGCTATCCGCCTTGTTTAGTTCGAACTTTCTTACGCTCTGCCCATTTTGCCTGTACTCGTTGGCACGTCTCGGTATTCTTTCGATACCATGAGATCGCCAATAAGTATACTTTATGTGGACTAATTAAAGCCTTCTGGTTTGCGAGTTAACAAAGAAACCAAGTCGTTGCTAGGCACGTAATCGAATTGTAGTGGTGATCACAGTCCGTCCTCGATTCGACGCCCACTACAATGTCCTTCGATTTAACATATTTTGAAGGAAAGCGTTTGCTAGAATATGAACATTTATCGCTCCATCCAGATTGAGACTAAGGCATGTTATAATAATTGCCGCGAACCGCATAATAAATGCACGAGTAACATTGGCTGCAATAACCGCAGATGTCACTGAAACTTCGGCTGTTCAATGGTATGAATATTGTAGGGACACATCAATAATAAATATGATAGATTTACAAAACCCGAGTGCAGAAATAATACTGAAGCTGTGTAGGAATCCGAGAGGGTTTTTGTGGCCTTATCATGGCTCCGTACACTGAATATTATGGAGCCAAATTGACGAGTTCCTCTACGTCATATATTACCATTTTAGAACCGTTGAAACTCTTTCTAACGTTGACAAGTTTTTGGGTCATATAAAAGAAGTGTATCCACTTCAACTCTTTAGTTTTTTTTACTCTATGCTAACCGTTCGTCGATTGGCTAATATTTCTCAAAATCACTCAATATTCGTTCGAAGGTCGTCCATAACTTATGGTCTCGCCAAAAAATCTCTTGGGTTGTTTGGAAGGATGGAATTACTGTAGTGTTTACGTTCCACTGTGCAAATTTTTCTTAAAGGTATTTCATTGTTGATCATTGAATGGTTACGACTGCCATAGTTGACTATTTCTCAGTGATAAACGAATTCTATAAATGAACATTTTGAGTACTCCTTGTTAACTAGTGTCAACTATCTTGAAACTTCAGTCCAGAATTTCTTGCCATTCTGTTCCAATCAACTTATATTACAAATAATACACTCGACATCAAGTTGCTTAGACTAGTAGGTGCACTACAAGTTGATTAGTAAGATTTGGTCAGCATTCAACAGATTAGACAAACAAAACAGTGGACAGTACTCAGCAATCAAGTAGTATAACCCATTTATATATTTGTAACATCATATAGTAGTGGAAGAGGGAAATAAACATCATAATCACTGTGAATTCAATTCTGGGTAATTTTCAACACAATCAAACACTGTGTCTTCTATTCATTATCAATATCATTGACTTAACCAAACTCAATGGAAATCGTCACATATTCTCACATCATCTTTTTAAATATCTTCCATATGTTTTCGATTGTATTGTTGAATCGTCTACAGTTTATCTTCTCTTCATTTTACTTTATTGTTTTCTCTCTATTGTGTCAAATAATTCTCTGACTCTGCCTGTAGCTCTAATAGAGTTACTGCCGGACCCGAGGCCGTATAAAGAGGAAGGGTTGTGCATGGGGTTAGCGACTCCATCCTGTTGAAAACTAACTCGCTGAGAAAAAGCTAACCAGAACTGGTGCGCGGCACATGATTTTTTACTAGGGGCAATAGGCGTTAGTAAGTAAGTATACAACTTACCTAAAATGCCACTATGTCAATCATATTACACCCCTTAACTTTGTACCTTCATATGTGTATATATCAGTATTGGTTTAATTATTTCTCAACAATATCGATACCCTGATTATCTGTTAAATACTAGTCTAATCTTTTAAAGAATTCATCTGATCTATTAATTGTATTACAGTACAAAGATCATTATTTCTCCTTTTATATTAATAAAGAAAATTCTAATTGTAAATCAACATTTATTCTCTATTATCTATACAGTCTCAATACTTATTGAAATACTACTGTTAGTCATATCACTATAAGTACTACTCTTACCATTATTCAATAGTGTCAATCAGAAATAATTTGATTGTTACAATGAGATGTAAGTGAATAATATTGATTGAATAGAAAGAATTATTAACTTGGAGGCATTTGGTGTTATTTACATGTATCTTATCATTGCTGCTTAGGACTATAATGGATCAGTCTCTCTCTTATTGACATATGTTCATAGTGTATGGTTTGTTGCAATGTTGCCTTTTTCACAGAAACTATAAGTAAAGATGGATCGTGGTTAATAGTGAAATCCAATTTGATGTGCGTTTCATCCTATTTGTGACTCGTCAGACGGATATCCACGCATCTCAGAGTTAATGTTCAACTATCCATCTTTGTTCATAAAATCAATTTCATCAGTTTTTCTTTCATATTCTTTTTAGATCCAGTTGAAAAACATAAAGGAAGTTGTTTAACAGAAGTGAATACTAACCAAGTAAGTTACTGATTGATTTGTTTGTTTATTCAATTACATCATAATATGAATATCTAGATTAGAATAGAACCAAATCAACAAGTAACTAGTGGTGATTTTTATCTGAAGGTAATTTAATATAACAAAACAAAATGGTACCTAATTTGTAAGGCAGATGCTATAACTTTTCTACAATTATTAATCATATGGGGAATGAATCTTCTTGTTATACTAATGTAAGTTCATCTCAGTCATTTGGAATTATGGGAACATTTAATCCTATTCATATTAAGTGATGAATTCAAGAAATGGTTACAATCCCAAAACTGGTTTGTTGGACTATGTTTGTAAGTTATTAATTGTCTGGTTTAACTATTTCCATTAACATAAAAGTGTTGTGTTCTTAAAAAAATTAGTATTCAGAAGCATCTATTGAATTAATGAGTAGACACATGTAAGTTATTGAAAATAAAAGAAAAATGTGAATGTAGTTTATTGATCATCAACGTTGATGATCCTTGTAGAATGATTTAGGGCCTACTCGAGTGAGATGGGAATGATGTGATGAACCAGTTAACGTCGAAGACATACCTCACAGTCAGCATCTAACGTGGATTACCCCTTCGACGTATCATAGTATTATGCTTGCTTCGAAGATCGTATAACACTAAGGATGTTATAATATAAATATATTGGGTAGAGTGAGTACAAGCGTCACTGTGACCACCACCACTACCACCAAGTGAACCAGTCAATGCCTTATGATAAACTGATGTGCGTTGATTGTCGGTGACTTTGACAAGGATCGATGACCTGTTCGATATTCAGTGATTTGGCTGTCAGATTATTTGGTTTGAGCTCAGTGATGTCTCACTAGCTCAACATCTTCAAATGTCTAACATAACAGTTAAATGTTTTTATTGCTTTCTAAATTCACTTCTTTAGTAACTGCACTTTCTGGGTAACTGTCATGCTACCCTGTAGTATTAATAATCGAATTCTAGTTTGACTTTTTAGTATAACGATGCTGCGTCTGTGCATTTCGACGGCTATTGGGTCGATGGGATTGACAAAAACCGCTTTTGTGACCAACTTTATGACAGCGATCGCACAGCTTCTGTTTGAATGGACAAAATTTCACATAATGCTAGGCTCCACAGTGCCAACATGGAGAGGGGGGCTTCTTCTGAACCGGTCTGAAGTGATTAGAGAAAGAAGGAGCATTGGCTTTCGTAGGACCACCGGTTGTTGATCTCGGAGATTTGTTCGGACGTTGGACAGCGTGAACTTCGCAACCAACCTGGCCCCCAGATTGGACCAAAGTGGTGTCACGCTGCAGGTTGACAATGCGTTGATACTCGTCGGCGATTGCATTAAGTGTTAGCGTTGGGTCTTGTTCACGGCGGTTCAGTAATCGAGTTCTGATGTCGGAGAATTTGGGTGACTGAAGACTACATATGAATACGAGGGATTTGAATTGGTCGTCGGTAAGGGATTTGAGCTTGAACCGTTCGCACTCACGGTTGACAATGTCAACATGGCTTAGGAAGTCATCGGACTCGTTCATGACCAGTTTTAAAGAGCGATAGCGAGTATTGAAAAGTGAATGATGGTCACCAAAAAGTTGACTGAGTGTTTGAACAGTGGCATCGAAGGAACGGTGTCGTGGGTTCTGCGGTAGAATGTAGTTGCGATACTTATCAAGCTCTGATGGACCACGTTTTTGAAGGAGAAGACGCACCTTCCACGAATCATCTCTGTCAGCAAGGTCGACTTTAAAAAGATCTTCATAACGTCTGAACCAAGTATCAAATGTAAAATTGGCATCAGGATCATAAAGAAACTCAGAAATACCACTGGTAATACCGTCGACTGATTGAGGGATTGTTGGTGTACATGAGACTGGAGAAGAGATCTGCGTCTGAGTAAGCATCTCCATCAGCTTCAGCTGTTGCTTGAACAATTCTTCTAATTTAACTGGATCCATAGCTAGTCAGCAACTTGTTTGCTGCATCTAACGTGGATTACCCCTTCGACGTATCATAGTATTATGCTTGCGTCGAAGATTGTATAACACTAAGGATGTTATAATATAAATATATTAGGTAGAGTGTGTACAAGCGTCACTGTGACCACCACCACTACCACCAAGTGAACCAGTCCATGCCTTATGATTAACTGATGTGTGTTGGTTGTCGGTGACTTTGACAAGGATCGATGATCTATTCGATATGTGATGATTCAACTAGTGGATGATTTGAGTAGAGCTTAGTGACATTTCACTGGTCCTACATCTTTAAATGTCTGACATAACAGTTAAATGTTTGTACTACTTCCTGAACTCACTTTTTTATTAATGGCAATTTCAGAGTAATCGTCATACTACCCAAATTTAACATTGTTTCGGTCAGCTTTTCATTATTTATTCAGATTGTTCAACATATAAAAAGCTAGAATAGTAAGAAACGTAAGGATGTTAAACGTGAATATATGGGGAAACTAATAATAGAACTAGAGTGATAGGATTATAAACGGATGTGTTTCACTGATTAGTTTCATCAATTTAAAACTAGTTTTTAAGATAAACAGACTATGAATACGATTGGACACACTGCAAACTACTTTGTATCAGTAAGTAATATGAATGACTCATAAAATGTTTGTTGAGAGGATATAACAGGATCAAATTTTAACCCCTGCTTCATAGTCATCAATTCACCCGAACACAATTTAGTCAAAATCAGGTTGTTCACATTTGAGACTGGTGAATCCGTTATATAAGATAACCCTTATACATTTCATTCAATGGATAACTATCAAAATCTCTACACGATTTAGCCATATCTATTCAACTATCGTTCGATCTGTAAAATATCAGTCATTATTTTTGCATCAGTCTGAACTTTATTTTCAATCTATATTTGCTTTGTATTACTACAGCTTTTCAGGACTCTATGTTGATTTGGAGATGGTTCTCGTACCACAAGTACAATTTAAATTTCCATGGAACTACATACTATTGGTATTTAATGTAAGTAGTTAAGAATGATACTTGAGAATATTGATCATTATCAACCGGTTAAAACACTGGACATTCACTTTTCATCCTTTCAATTTCGTAGCGAACAACCCCGCCACGAGAAGGCAGTGAGTAGGGCTACCCTGGCAGAGGCTATATAATCGTGGCAATGTGAGAGCATTCCGAGAGGGAGAGCGGACGCACACTACCATCGGCCGTACCAATGGATTTGGTGACTGTGAGGTGTGTCTTCGATTTTAACTAGTTCGTCACACAATCCCCGCCTCACTCAAGTAGGCCCTGAATCATTCGAGAGAGATAATCTACACTCGTGATCTACACCATTCTGTCAAATATTACTAAAAATTTGTTACATTTAATCAAATAATTAATGATTAGTTGGAAGACGGATGATCTGTTACGTTGATTCTCATTTTATTTATTTATTTTATTTGATAGTCGATGATTATCTCGATCCCAGCTTCAAGGTCACTTTCTGAATTGGGAAAGGTATGGATTCCAAGTAGTTGGGTTATTGCACTGGGAATCACATTACTGACTGTAATACTCGGCGGATTAAAACGATTCGATATACAAAGATCTTTCAATATATTCTTCATTGTTATATTCACTTTACAAGCAGTAGTTTATATAGTTCTCATTGTATTGAATCATTTTCATTGCTTTAATGTAAGTGAGATTTCGATTATTGAATAATTTTCTAGTTTGAACAATGTTATTTGGTATTTATCTGATTGTGGATAAATCAGTAGGATATTTTCTTTTGGAGTTTGATATCTAACAATAAGTTGTTAAAAACATTGCACTCATTAGATTCATGTTCATTTCTTTCTTTCCTATTCATAACAAACATCAATATCATCTCTTTACAATTGTTTATTGGTGGCTGGCCGTTCTGAATGCACGAACATCTTCATGATTTTGACTGTTGTCGGCAGCTAGCATTCTCCTAAACACTCTGTTCTGTGCCTTCTTTTATATTCCTTTCCTATTGTTGTTCACTCTACTCACGTCTTTTTCTATTTATCACAGTAATGTGTTCTTTGGTCTTCCACTTCGAAGTTGAACTTCAGGATTCCATGTGAAAGCTTGCCTTTCGACGCAGTTGGGTGATTTCCTCAATGTGTGTCCTATCCACTTCCAGCATCTCCCTGATTTCTTCCTCCATTAGAATTTGGTTTGTTGTCTCCCACACTAGGTAGTTGCTTATAGTGTCTGGTCAAATGCTTCGAAGTATTTTGCGTTGAAAACTGTTAATCAACAATTGTATCTTCTGGATGATGGATTTTGTTGTTCTCCACGTCTCCGCCCGTATACTAGAACTGTCTTGATATTTGTATTGAAAATTCTGACTTTGGTGTTGTTTGACAGACAGTTGTTTTGAGTGTCATATGTTCTTCACCTCCGCATAAGACCGACGGTGTTCATCAGTGATTCTGCCCAGATATGTCAAGATTTTCACATCCTCCAAAGCCTCTTCATTAAGTGTGATTTGATTGGTGTATGCTGTTGCATCGGAGAATCTTGATTTTCCTCTTGTGTATGTTGAGGCCTACTGCTGTTGAAGCTGCTGCCACACTGATCGTTCTCTACTGCATTTGTTGTTGCGTGTGCGATAGATGAGCCGGATTATCTGTGAGGTCTAGATCGTTCAACTTCATCCTAGCTGTCCACTATGTCCCATGCTTAACCACAGATGTCGGCGTCTTCACAATCCAATCGACCAACAGGGAAAAGAGGAGAGGTGTTAGTGAGTAACGTTGCCTGACACCCGACTTTACCTCGAAAGAATCTGTCAGTTGTCCGTCACAGGAATTCCGTATGATATTGACTATCTTCTCGGGCACGCCGTAGTGTTTGTAGCATTGTCCCGTCAATGAAGTTGATGTAGTGTGATGCATTCCATTCAATTGATTTTTCCACAATAATCCGTACAGTTGCGATTTTGTGTGTACATGATCGAACCTCACGGAATCTATCC